TGGGATTCTTGTGCAGGGATTGGTGAATTTGTTTTCCCCTTGGCAAGCACCAAGGATGAGGAATTCCTCACAGTGGTGCTGCAAAACACAGATGTGCAGGTTTGCCTTTTCCAGGCTGCAGAATAACCTGGGGAAAAACCTCTGGTCTGGCACCAGTTAGAGGGAAAGCAGAAATAAGACCCTCTGGGAACTACCAGAGTTCTCCACTTCAGGTGATTAATTAATTTCAGGATTAATATTACATAATCTGCAGGATCTGAACCAATACTGGTCCAAGCTCCAGTTTAAGGCAGAGCAAACAGAAGCAATACCACATCTTTCTGCTGGTCTGCCCAAGGAATAATCCCTTCTCAAACACAGCCTGCCCCAGGGCTGAGAAGGAGGATGCTGAGCTTTCTGTTGGAGCTCTGCTAGAGAACAGCAACTCACACCTCTGGTGGTTTCAGCTTCTGGTGTTTATAAAGGGTGACATGGCTCAATCCCAGGCACTTCCTGTGATATCCATCACTCAGGAAAGGTCTCAGATAGTTTCTGAACATGTAGTGCTGTAACCATTAGTCTACTCAGGGTTTGGGACCTTCTTTCCTTCATTTTTTTAATGAAAAATTCCTCTTACTTTCAAACTACCTCCAGGGTGGTTTTGCTGGGTAATTTTTAATTTTTTTAATTAAAAGTGCATACATTTTTCAGCCAGAAATTTCAATAATTGAGCTGCAAGGAACTCCTCAGATGTGAGATCTTGATTTTGCAAGTGCCCCAAGGAAACAATTTGGGAAATCTGCACTGCAAACAACTGGGAAAATAAGTGGACAAGTTGCATCAACAGGATGAAATATTAATTAAAGGGAGAATGTCTTGGCAGTAAGAGAGAAATTCAGGTTGAACTGATAGGAAATTGCATCCCCTGTGTGAGAACAGTAATTTTGCAGCTCCCTTCAAGATGGAGATCCCCAGATTGTGGTGTTTGGGATCTCGCTGGCTGCCACTTTCTTTCCATGATTCAGCATCAGTCAGCTTCCCTCTAAGAGGATTTATTCCTAAAGTGGTGTTACAGCAACTGCAGGAGACCTTGTAATGGGCAGAAAATCATTTAGACAGAAACAGAATGTCTCCAGTGATTTAGCCCCTCCATCTCTGCCATAAGTGCTGGCCCAAATTCACAGCAGCAGGGGCTGAGACAGAGCTTTACATAAACCACTTGCAGTGGCACCCAGGGACTTTTCTCACTGAAAATCAACACATGGGGTTTCATCTCTGAATCAGGGCTGTGGACAGACCTTCTGGCTCTTATAGTCTCAGCACAGGGCTTGCAAGGGTGTCTAAGGTCTAAAAATTCCCCACTCCAGGAGTAATTGGACTGAGTCATAGATCTCTTTTTTAGTAAGGTACTGACCTAAAGCTTCAGAAAGGAAAAAAAAAACCTCTAGAAATGTGAATTATCAGTACTGAAAAGAGGGAGTTTAATAAAAAGAAGCCTCAGATTCAACATTGTATTAAAAATGCATAACTTGTAAAACAAGCTTATGGTTTTGGGAACCTGATACCTTTTAACTGGATGCTTTCAGACTGCAGTTCCAGGAGACAGAGAGAACAGTTGCTGCAGCTACAAAAGGCTCCTCAGTCATATCCATATCCTTATGAACTCATCCCATTGCCTGAGTCCTGGCTCAGCAGCAAACTGCTGTTCATCATCTCACCCTGCCTGTGGTGTGAGGTCAGCAGTTTGCCTGCTGAGAGTCAGCCAGGAGCACATCTGGATGCACAGTGAGGTGTAAGGTTGTGATCCATGTGTTGCTCTGGCTGAGTGAATTCTCTCTGATTTTTTTCTTTTTCTTTTTCTTTTTTTTTTTAATTTTTATTTTCCTCTCAGAGAAGATGTAAGGGCCAGTAGATTTCAGGTTTTGACAGCACCCAGCCTAAAGAAATGCAACCTTGCATGTAAAGAAGAAACCCTCCATGAATTTGAAAACATGGGATGTATTGTGCATTGAAGCACACTTCTTCCACTGGCTCTGGAGAGAGAATAATCCACACAGGCTAACAACAAAACTCAATTTGCCCACATGCAGGAAAAAGTGCTTTATCAAGGCTATTTGGAGTTACTTATTAAATGTTGTAAATATCATTAAAAATAATTGAGTCTGGGGGACAACAAACTAAAAAACCAAGGGCCTCAGAAGGACTGTAGTGTTTCTGTGGCTTCACAGCACCTCCAGGCCATTGCTTGCTGTCTTGAAAAGAAAACATGGTTATTTATATAATCACTGGGCAGAAATATGGCCCCACAAAGAAAATCACTTTGTCTGAGACATGCCTTGGTAATGCAGACCTGAACAAAACCCTCAGCTGTCAAGCCAAGTCCCATTCCTCCCAGATCAAAAAATCAGGAAGATTTTTGCTGGTGTGGCATGAAACATCACTACTGCATTTTGACAAAAACATTGAGATTTGGGCCAGGTGGGGCCTTGGGAGGTTGTACCAGCCACCCATGGACCCTAAAAACACTGCTGGCAGAAAGATTTGGAAATGACAGCTCCATTTCCATGCCCCAGGTTAAACCCCAGCCCATTCCCTTTCTCTTCCCTGCCACGTGCTCCAGGGCTTGGGGCACACCTGGTCCCTCGTGGGCTCTCCCCAAGAGATCCCTGTCTTGGCTGAGATGCACAGCCCAGAATCAGACACAAAAACACTGCTGCTGAACCCTGCTAAACACCCTGACAAGCTGGACTGACCTGAAGGGTTTCCTAAATTAGTGTGCCTCTGTTCTCCAATCAGATTCTCTGATTTTCTGAAGTATCCAGTCTGGTTTGGATAAACGCATGTAGAAAAAAAAAAATAATGTGAAAAAAATTCCTTGCCATGTTCCTTTATCAAGACTCTGAAGAAATAAAAATGGTTTCTGTGAGAATTCAGGGAGAAAAGAGAAGTCAGCACCTTCCTTTCTGTCACTCAGTGCATCTGGTGGTACTTGTTACTAACCTGAGCCAGAACGTGCAATGAGGAATGCAAGAGATCACACCTAAAACATGAGATTCCATGTAGGAGCCTTTGTGGGAAAGAGAACTGCTCTGTTCATAGAATTCTCTTTCATTTTTTCAGTCTTTTTTCTCCTACTCTAACACAAATCCCCCAAACTTTTCTCCTTAAAACTCAGGGGAGCTCCAAGTCATCCACCTTTTTGCAAGACTAGCAACAAAAATCACAACCAAAAACCCACTTCTGATTCACAGAGGTGTAAATGTGATCAAAACTCACCCAGAATGATTTTATGTTGCATAACCACTTCCATGATTTTATAATGGAGATAACAGCAGGCAGAGTGTGCCAGATGATGAGCAAGGGAGCACTGTTGGCAGCGGGGCAGCAGAGGAAAGCCTTTGAGGTTTCCAATCTCAAAATAAACCTTCTTGGAGTTGGGAAGAAAAGGCAAAATCCACAAGCTGGCACAACACAGGTGACTCCAGCCCACGTGGATGGGAATGGTGCAGCTGATGGCAGAGGGACAGCAGAGACTCTGATGAGCTGTTTCAGCTTGTTCCCAACGCTGTGGCATCTTCCAGAGTGCCAGATTAGCAGGGCAGAGCCACATCCCCACCATGAAATGTCTCTCAATTAGCACTGCCCTCCATGTGCTGGGCCAGTTTGCTCCTGGGCCCTTTGCTTCTGGACATCCACCGTGCACACACTGAAGGGCACACACCCACAGGCATGAAAGCACCTCCTGAAGCCCATCCCCGCTGCCCTGGTGAGCAGAGACAGCTGCCCCCAGATCTCCCTGGTGCCCAGACTGAACTTCACAGCTCATCTCAGGGTCCCTGGGGAGCAGAGTGTGCACAGAGCCCGGGCTCTGTTTTGGATGAGAGGAACAACCACAAAGCTGCCCTTACCCTGCCAGGGGTGCAGTGCACAGGCCAGTGCATGTGGGGAGGGGCAGGGAGAGAGCTGAGTGCCATAATTACCCCCAGCACAGCTTATTCCAAATATCATCACTGATATTGTTCTGGAATGCCAAACTGCTGCCTTTAATTACTCTCAGCAGCTTCATTAGCAGAACTGTGTAGCGAGGTTGGATGCTCCCATCCAATTCCAGGGATCCTCAAACAAAATGGGCTTGGTGGTTGTGTGTGGGAGGTGGAGAGGTTGTTCCTGGAAGTGTCTGTGCCGGGGCTGGGAGGGGGGATTTCGAGGAACCGAGTCACAGCACAGGCTCAGATTGCTGCTGTGCTGCAAGCTGGCCTCTCCTGGGATACCTGCTGGAAGGTGTTTGGCAGCCAGAGCCCTGGCTAGCACAGACTGAAAAGAATTCTTTTGTTCATCTGCAGCCCTGCACCCTCTGCTCTCACAGAAACCCACCTGCCCTCCAATTCCTTCAGCTTTGCAAGATCCTCCTTCAGCTCTGACTCCCACACAACTTTTTCCTGAAAAAACAGCATGGACAGGGAAAAGAATGCAAAAAGGGGTTGGTTGGTGCAGTATGGAGTGGGACCATCAATAGTAAACCAGGTTTGGTTATTTTCAGACTTTGGATATGTGCATTTTCTTATATGTTTCATAGTAATTGGACTGAAAGAACTGACACAAAATCCAGGAGGGCCACAAAAAGCATAGATCATTCAGGTACCTGGATCCAAGGAGCTGCTTAAATTTCTGCCACAATCCCCTTTGTCTGCAGTGGCTGGGCACAGAAGCTGTGTGCAGACAGAGGGACATTGAATATCTGTGAGTGCTTTGGAGACTTCTCTCTCCTGCCTTGCACAGGGCTCTCCTTAGCAACAGAGCTGCCGTTGCAGGATCTGCTGCTGTTTGTGACCTCTCTGCCACCAGCAGCTCATGGAATCTGCAGTTCTGCCTGCTCAGACCAATAAAACACCGGTGAACCCCTGCCATTACCATTCTTTGAGTTACTCAGCCCTATGAGAGGAATTGCAAATGAGGGAAAAGGAAGGTTTTCAGTGAAATCTCTTCCAATTTCCGACCTGCAAGCAGCTGCAGAGGTGATATCTCATAGCCCTGCACAGGCTGCAGAGCTGCCCAGAGCACAACAGGAGCAGGTTTTTGGGGACATTTGAGCTCTGTCTTGAACTCAAGGTGTTCAAAACCATGAAACTGGGGCTGCTAGTCCTAATCTGCCTCATTTAAATCAGATTAAGGCTCATGGAGGTGTGACTCAATGATCTCCTGTTCCTGAAGCAACAAGGACTGAACTCCAGAGGGACCCAGAGGATGGGATGCTCAGATCCCTCCTTCCTGCTGCTGACAGAATGGAGTGCAACGCTGGGCATCCCTGCACGTTGGTGTGAGCATGTGTGTGGGGGACTGTGAGTTCTGGGAAGCAAGGCAGAGGGACAGCACATCCTAAGAAACCGCTCACAGAACATGGGGCCATATGTTTCTGGAAATGTCAGAATGAAAATCATTTTAGAAATGGAAAATTACTTCTCAATCCCCTCGCATTCCCATAATACTGCTTTCTCTCTATTTTAATGTTTGGATTTGTCTTTTTAGTAAAGCAGGAACAGAGCTGAGGGAAGATGGGAAGGATGGCTTGGGATGCTGCCACAAAGAAAAGATGGGCTTGTACCCAGCACCCCACAGGAAATGGCTTGAGCAAGGTTATGGAAGCATATTGTGCTTAAATGTTTTCAAGGTCAGATCTTCAAATGATTCTTATCTTTATTCATCAGATACTCCCTAAACACTTATTTTTCTACATAATATCTATAATATCTCCTGGCTCTATGCTGATGCTACTCATTTAAATACACATGGAAGTTATGTATAACAACGACACAGAAAATGCAGTGCTCTCCCATTAGGGGCATATTTTGCCATTCCTGCTACTTTCCAAATCAATTACTTAGTAAGAAATCATGCAAAAGGCGAAGGCAATCCAAAGAGACTTATAAAGTTCTTATTCTTGTTACACCCAGGATGAAGCTACAGGATATCTGAATTACTCCCATATGGCATAAAATCTGAAGCAATAGGCTATTGTGATACAAGATATTCAAACCAGCTACCAAATCGCTCCCTTTGGCTATCAGTGATCAGAGATGACTGGATGTGCTTTTCTTTTGAACATGAAAGTGAAATCAGCTCCATTGCTGATGGGACAAAATGCATATGCAGCAAAGGGGGGACTGCTTTGTCCCTCAGATGCAGGAGAGGTTCTTGGAGCTCTTGGAGCTCCTGTTCTTGTCCTGATACTTTCTCCCTGAGGACTTCAAAGAGGCACACCTTACCTTTGCAAAGGAGCAAGAAACGTGAAAGGGTAAGGGATCTGGGGGAGGAAACTGAGGGGGAAAGCGTGGCAGATCCATAATCACGAGACAGGAGTTTACAGTGGGAATAGCGACCATGAATAATGCAACAATTCTCCCCCTGGAGAGAGGGAGGCCTTGAGATTCCTCCAGATCTAATGGCTGAAACAGCCCTTTTTTCAGGTGCCACATCTGTCTCCATTTGCATGCTCATTTGATCAGATCCTGGAGATAGAAACTCTGTGCCGTTCAAAATTAGGACCACAAGGAACCTGCAGAACACTGCAAGCCCTGCAAGGGTAAAGTCAGGGGGTTTCCAACCCATGAAAGGTCCAAAGAGCAGATAAAGCCCTTGCACATGTCCCATGGATACAGTGGAATGCAAAAAGACATCAAAAGGTTAAAACAACTTTCAGGGTCATGGATGACTTGAGGCACACTGAGGACACCAGGACTGTGCAGCCTAAAAAAGAGATGAATGCCAGGTGGCTGGCAGAAATACATAAAATCAGGAATGTTTTGGAGAGGGGGAAAAAGGTTAATAATGATACATGTTCTTTATTTCTCAAAAGCCAAGATTTAGGGGAACACCCAGGAATGAACAAGCAGTGGGTTTGACAGCAGAGCTGCATTTTCCCAGGTGACACAGCATTAAGTCCTGGAACTCTGTGCCAGATGAGCCTCAGTATAAATGATTTTTTGAGACCACTGATATCCAGGAGGATGCTCTGCTGCTGGCTGTTAAACACAATGCTCTGGTTGCAAACTGTGGCAGAGGAAACTTTACATTAAACAGCATCAAAGCAGGAGGCAGAATCTTTTAAACTCTCCCTTAAATGGCTTCGATACCCAATTATCAGGCAGCACACACTGGGTAGCTCAGTCTTTGGTTGTGCTCACTGTAGCACCTTTTGTGTTCCTAAGTTAAGTTCAAAAAGAGGCACCTCCTCTATAGCTCATGACAAGTGAAACCCACAAATAAGGACTTTTATCACTTGGCATCTGTGTTACACAGCCTGGGATTTTCAGCCATTGCCCTACAAACATGCTCTGCATGCTCAGCCCTGAAGGGATAAGGGTTAATTCACTACCAGCTGCATTCAACCAAATGTTTAATCCATACAAGCACAGTATTAAAAACAAGGTGTGAACTTAGAGCCAACTTACCCTCCCTTTCACTTTGACCTTCTACAGCAGCATGTGAGTGAGCCTTTCATTATTTCTGGGAGAAAACAGGTAGTTTGTAAAAGATATTTCAGCAGCATACTGAAAGTCCAAACCCTGATGGACTGTGATGTGAAATAACTTGTCTGGTGCAGTAGTTTGCTCTCATCTACACAGAAAAGCCTCAAACCAGACAAAGCATGAGTCTGCTTTCGCTCATTTCTTTAAATAAGCCCCCAGCTTTCAAAAAATGTTTGATTTCCTCCTTTTGTACTTGGCTTCAATGATGATTAAGCTCTCAAGGGGCTGCTATGCTTGTCATGCACTGTTTTTTTCTGATGGATATTACACAAACTCCATGCACAAATTCATTTTTCCTGCCCTCCCTCTTCCATGTTAAAAATTACAAGCAGATGAGATGCTAAGAGGAGAGAGTTTATAATTGTAATTGGACTATTCACACAAAATGCAGACTTTGCTTTATCTTTTGCATAGTTAAAATTTTGGTGTGCCTTTTAAAACATAACTAAATAGAGATATCTTAAAGATAACAATCTAGTTATTATTTTTCAATTATTTGAGGAAGGTTGGATTTGGTTTTGTTGGTTCTTTTGATTTGATTTTTCCTGTGGGGTTTCCATCTTTTCCTCAGAAATAACACACTCTCCGTGATGATTACCTGTGGTCAGGTTTGGAATCCTGAAGCAAGAGGCCAGTTCTGCTCTTGCTTACTTGGAGTAATGCCATTAAAAGCTCTGTGTCTGACTATTCCCTGATGTAACTGGGGATATCCACAGTCCACACACACACTTTCAAAAGACTATTTTGATTAATTCCAGATTAGAACAGAGCTTCCTGGGAGGGATTTTCTGCTCTGTGGGTTTCTCTGCCCACACCAACAGCGAGTGCTCTTCTGTCTTGAGAACTGCTTTTTCCTTCCTCAACTGTTCTCCAATGTGAATTTGAAAGTCGTGCATGGACAGACTCCAGATTTCAAACTCATGCAGCCCTCCATGCCAGAACCACCAGAGCCTCAGGGAATGTAACAAACACAACTCATGAGAACAACCAGATGACAGCTTATTAATACACCCTGAATGTTTTCTGCTTGTAGAGAAAACTTGCGCTGCCAGCGCAGGGAGCTCACGTGATTCTCCAAGAGAAGATCTCCCAGTTGTTACAGGCAAGACACAGACATCAACTCCACTTCTGTTCCACCAAGGGTTAACTGGACTCCAGAGCAGAATGCAAGAGAAAGGAATGTAAAGCAAGATGGGAGGCAAAGGAAAGGAGGATTCCCATCCTTCTGGTAGAATTAATCAGCAGCTCTTTTGTCATCTCCCAAACTCAGGAGCATCCCCCACCTTGGAGAAGTTTCCTTCCAAGCCAATGATTGGCAATGTGCAGAGAGTGGCAGAGCTGCTGCTGACACCAGCAGGAGAATCAGAGACCCGAGTGAGAACAGTCTTGAGGATGAGCCTGGGTAATTTAGGTACAGCACAAAGGGCTCATTAATGTCCCCTGAAGCTCTCGGTGGGATCCAGCCCATTGATGTCACTGGGGTGCCTTCCTCTGACTCCTCTCCCTCAGATTCTGGCATCACAAATCCTTCTGCCTGGTGCTTCCCTTTGTCCTTTCTGTTCCTTTCTCTCTTCTCCTTTTCTCTTTCCTTGCCTTTTGTTCCCTCCTTTAACAATTTTCAGTCAACCCCAGGGAGACAGTCCCACTCTTATTTGCTAAAATAACTGGTAGTTAAATGACTGACATTTAATGTGGTATCTTAGGCTTCAGCACTGCTCCGCTGGGAGAACATGCAGTGATGAGTGTGTGGGGAGATGGAAGAATAGGATGTGGATCATGCTTCTGAGAGCTTTTTTTTTTCTTTTTCAGGCTGTCTGTAGACTCCAGCAAACATCATTTCTGCTGGAGCACTTATGGAGAACACTCCCCTGAGTGGGAGACAGAGGGCTGTCCATGACCTGTCAAAAAATCCTCGCTAAGGCATAAAGCAGACTGGAGCCCTACTGCCTCAAAACTGGAGCCCTGGAAACCTCAAAAAGGGGAATGTTATCCTTTTTTGATTAGCTGCTTTCATGCTTCCTTTGGAGTCAGTACTGCAAAATGACACTGACCTGCACTGGCATTTCCAAAAGAAAGCTTGGGACTGGAATGGCTGCACATGGTGCTGGTCAGGATTAGGTGTTTTAACAGAGGTTGGAGATCCCTGCAGCAGATGTGCTGCTTTCACTGAATTCCAGGAATGTGCCATTGATCCTGCTGCTCCCCAGAGCCTGCACTCGCTCTGTGCTCGTGCAGTCATCCCAGCAGAGGTGTCTGCAGGGGAGCCCAGCCCAAGCCAGAAAGTGATTTCTGCAGAAATGGTCAAATTCCATGGTAGAATAATGCACATGGAGGAAAAAAAAAATAAAGACGAAGTACCAAAGCACCCAAAGTACAGTGGCTTTAAAAAATAGTAGCAATAAAGGTGTAGGTCAAACCAAAGATGATGCACTGGTCTGTGTCTGTCCCAGGCTGAGGTGGGCTGAAGGACAGGATTTACAGCTGATTGACATTGCACAAACACCTCAGGGCTTTTCCTCCCTGCTGTGTGTAACTCTGCTGGGACCTCAGTACCTCTTAGCATCCTTGCTGCTGCTACCTTTCCTTTCAGCTCTCCTGCTCACAGGGGTGAGCTCAGAGCGAGCTCTCCCCACACAGAAGGGTGCAATGACACCTTTGAAACACCTTTAGCAAAAGTAACCATCAGTGATTTGTTCTGCTCTGCTTTGGTTGGGAGACACAGATGGACATTTGCATTCACACCTGAGAAATAGCCTCCCTCATCTGGGTGAGATTCTTCCATCCAAAAGCTTCCTCCTCCCAGAAAGAAATGCAATCATCCACCCCTCACCTAATTAGCAGATGAACTATTTATTTGACTTGTCATATCCCTTGGGAATCTCACATGATGGAGCTGTCCTGTGGGAGAGTTTTTCTAAGACAGCTGTTAAATGAAATGTCTGAAAAGCAAAGGGAATTAGTTTCTCTACCACCACCCTTGTAGTTTCCCCACTTAATTGCCCTCAGTTTTGTTTCAGAATTTATAACAGGTAATACAATCTTGGAAATAACAGCAATAATCCTTGTGTGTTATTATGACAAAGGAGTGAGGATCAAAATCATCAATGTAAAGACATTTTGCATCTGATGGGAGATCAGCTCCCAGGATGCCATTTTGCTGAAATCTCCTGAGGAATCAATTTTCTGCCTACGCCTGTTCACCACTCTGGAGAACCTCCTGTAATATCTCTGCATGCTAATGCACAACATGAATGTGTAGTAAAACACATGTGCCATTCCTCTGGTGGGAACTATAGGCACCCAGCAAGGAAAAAAAATAACGCACAAAGAAACCTCCTACAGAAATTCCAGACATTATAGTTTTTGCTTTCTTTTTCCAGCCCTCCAAAATGGATAGTCCACAGCATCATTTTGGAACCCTTCCTCAAAAAAAAGTACCAAAGGGATTCCTATTTGGCTCAATAGGCAACTATGGGTACATGCAAAGAATTACTTTGCAACCCACTCAGGTTCTGAGAAAAATGTGGCAGAGAGCAGGGAATGTGCAGTAGTGGGTAGTGTGTGTGTTGGTTTGGAAGCAAAGAGAACGGGGGTGTTTATCATGATCACCAGGTGATGACAAGGCAAAAGGTGTCCTGAAATCCTAAACAGCAGCTGCTTCTCCTCCACTCTGAGCCAGCCTCTTGCACAGGCTCAGCAAAGCCACCTGACTGAACCAGCAGCTCTGATTTTTAATGAACACCCAATGGGCTTGATACAACAGTGCTGATAGGTTGCACAGTGTACTATTTGCTGTCTTTGTGGGGCACAGTCTTCTCAAACCTCCAAGAGAGTTGGGCTGGGAACACTCTGTCAAAATGAAAATGGTCCCCCAGAGCATAACCTGACTACAGAGCTAGCAAGCCCCCCAAATACTCTGATATTACAGAGCTGTAAAAAGTCACTGCTCTGGTACAGACTCTGAATAATGCCCTCAACTTTTAATAAGAAAGCTTTGTAATCAGATGCCATTTCTCACATTTTCTTTCATTTGCTTTTCTCTGTGAAAAGTTCTGTGTGAATCAAGTGTCCCCAAGATCTCCTCCCCTCTGGCTACCTTTGGGGCAAGGTGGACAGATGAAGATTCATACTGGTGCCATCTACAGCAAAAAGGTAATGGGAAAGGAAGGAAAGGGTCAGCCCTTAGCTGATTTATACACGAGAACAGAAAAAGCCCAGAGGCAAGACAGCTCATCTCTCTGTGACTGAAAACACACTCCCAACCCAACCGGATCTTGGAGAACTTGGTTGCAGGTTGCCCTTGGATTATTCTGCAGGAGATTTTTTCGGTGAGCATTCAGTTTGAAGTTTGTTACTCATCCCTTCAGCTCACGTCACGATGAAGTCCCTTGCAGAGAGCAGGACCCAAAAGTAAGTTGCTCAGCATCCTGGATTGTGCAATTTAATTTGGAAAATTGCCTTTCCTGCACTGGTGCTCGGCTGGAGCCCAGACACTAAATCCTGCCTCTGTGTGGAAACAGCCTGACAGTCCCAATGACACATTGCAAACACAGTTCTGCTATGAGCTGTGAGCTCACATTGGGAAAGGTAATGCCATTTCTATCCCACATGCAGATTTTTATTCTGGGGAAAAAAAAAACCCACAAAAGAGGCCTGAGGTACAAAGATCCATGGGGAAGACTGACACAAAGCCTTCAAAGGCAGCGAGAGAATAAGTGCCTTTGAATGGATCCCAGGAACCAGACTGTCAAAGGACAGGGAGAGGTAGGTCATCTACCCTTTCCTACACAAGCAGCTTGGATATGTGCTGCAAAACAGTGCAGCCTTAAATATCCTAACCCAGAATTGAGCCTTGGCTGAGCTTTTCAAAATGAAGCACAGGAGGAACCAAGGGGCCACAGAGGAATGAGGAACCTCTCTGAAATGACAACTGGACAACTAAACACCTCTTTCACAGGGCAGAGCAGAGCTGCAACTATCTTTCTTACAGGTTTAATTTTAAATACACTCCATACTCAAGAAAGTGGTGGAATCAAAGTCACTGCAGCCTGGTAGACACCAGGATGGATCTTTCTGTCCAGAATCATCTCGTGGTTCTTTCCAAGACATTCCACATGCAACTTTTTGCACCCTCCTATCTCATGTCCACAACTGCAGTTTCCAGCAATCCTGGCTGTGTTCTCCAGGGCTGCTGCCCCTCTCTGTGATTTCCCTTCATCAGCTGCCCCAAAACTGTCCCTGAGGTAGCTCCTGCCCCACAGATGAGCCCCCACCACTCACTCCTCAGTGCTCCTCTCCTGTTACCCATCAGCAGCTGCCTCCTTGGAAGGGGAGGACATTTGGCTGCAGGGATTTTTGCCCTGCAGGTTTGGATCTGCCTCCCCTAGAAACGTACTCACCTCCCCAGAAACGGGAGACTGCAGTCCTCAGCCAAACTCCACCTCAGCCTTGTCAAGGGTTTGTTCTCCCTGACAGCCTCTAATCACCAGTTAGCCAGTTTACCGAGGGAAAAATTTTATCCTTTCTGCTAGAATTCATTTTTATGACACCTACCATAAGAGACTTAAAAAAATTAGGCATTAAAATGGTTTATAGAGGGTATTTTTATAATCCACTAAGCTGTTTTCCATTTCCACTGATATGACATCTCTCAGCTATAATTCATAAATGCCATCAGTTAACAGGCACAGAATCTTATCCTAAATTTCTCCTCTCATATGCTTTTCTCATTTAAACTTTCTGTTAAATCTTTGCTGTGCTGCTAAATCCAGAGAGATTTGGCCATAGCTGGGGGGGAAAAAAGTTTAAGTAGCTAATTAATGTCACTGGATTTGGGGCATCCTATCAAGAGAGAATATAGAGGAAGCATGTCCTCAATAAATATTTTGAACATTTAAATAAAGCTAATGCCCCCACCTACACAGGAACCTCTAATATCCTCAGAAAATAAAAATTTTTATAGGCAATAAGTGTCTGTTTTCCCACAGAGGGATGATGAGGACATTGCATCAGGTATATCGATTTCAGTGCCTCTGGCTTTCCCAACAGTCATTTTTGTTATCGATTGCAGCACGGAAGGGAGTCCCTCTGGGAAGCACCTGCTTGTGCCAGAGTCCATCCAACCTGGGGACATCCTGGAAGAAAGCATTTATTTAAAGCCCTCCCAGAACTCACTTCCTGCTTTGACAAAACCACAGAAATTCCTTGCAATAATTATAATTATTGCGGTAGTTAGACATATTCTGCTTTTCTCTGCCAAGCTCAGATTGGGAAACTCCAGGTCTCGCCACAATCACAGCTACTAAAACACAGCACGAAAAACAAAACAGAATGTACCTTCCTCCTCATTTGAAATGCCTCCCTTGTATCTACGCTGGGTCTGCTGGGAAATTTGAATTTGGGTGGAGTTTGAAATTTGGGCTGCATGTAGCCATTTGGTTATGGAAATTCCTACCTTGGAAGAGGTGAGCTCAAAAGAATGGAGATTTTTTTTTATTTCTTTAGCATGGGCATGAAGGTATCTCCTTGACTCTCTCTAGGTTAAGGATGGCTCACGGTCCACTGAGACTCCTTAAAGGCCTGGTGAGTTTCCAGTCACAATCACTTAAGCATTTTGGGTGGGAGAGAAGTGTCCCCTTCCCTCCATGAGGGAGAGGAAGCATGGAAGACACATGGAGAGAATAAGCCAAGCCTCTTGCCCCCTAATGTTTTACCTAATGAAGACCTAATCCTAATGGGACAAGAGTTTCAGACAAGCAGAGTATCCATGGCCTTTAACCTTGGGTTTTTTTTCCAGTGTGAGTTTCAAAAGAAAGGCTTTACTCAATAGAAAGTTATCAATAATCTTTCTTTGGCCTTAAAAAACAAAAAGGGAAATGAAAGGTCTATTGCCTGAGCTGGATGGAAAAGTTTTGCCCAGTGCAGTGCAGTGCTGGTGTGGCTGGTGCTGCACAGAGGTGAATTCAGGAGGAGCTGTCCTCACCTGTGCAAGGGTCGGTGTTAAATGCACCTCTCGCAGTCAGGAGATCAAACACTCCCCTGAGGGCAGCAGCAGGAGGAGGAGAGCTGGTTCACATCCTCCTGTCCCCAGTGCCTTACCCCTGTCACTGTCCCTCCCCAGCCCTGCCAGACAGGCAGGGGCCCAGAGCCACCTGTGGGGAGGAAGATGAGGACTGAGATGAGCAGGTGATTTGTGCTCGTGCTTTTACCCCTTGGGGAGTGGAGATGAGTGAGCCTACACTGGGGACGTGCAGGACATTTTCCTGCTGTCACCACAGCAGAGGGAGAGCAGCTGGTGACAAAAGCGGGCTGCAGCCACTCGGGGTGGCCCCTTGGCACTTCCACTTGGCTGCTCCATGGCAGAGTCTGCTTGGGGGAGATCATTCCCAAGGATCCTGCATGCAGA